AATGACATGCTTTAAGCGGCAGTATTCGACTAGGCTACACCCTGAACCTTTTGCCGAGGAAGAGATCCACACACACACACTCATACCCACATACACACACTCACACCTTTGGAGCTTAAAAAAGACATCCAGATGCGAAAGTTCGGGATTCTATGAATTCTTATCCTACATTAGGTATTTAAGGATCCTACCAAACAAGAAAGTAAATTTCAGCTTACATATGTATATATTGTGTTGCCTACCACGCCCTCTGCTGCCTGTCTATAAGGCACAGTAGAAATGTAACAGCATGATGCACTGTGCTGCGACGCCTGAGAAATTTGGATGGCAGCTATATCTATAATGTGCGGAACGCAGAGAGAAATGCGTTTAGGGCGCGTGCCCAGCTGCCTTGGCTTGTCAAAGCGGTATCATAAATAAAATGCCTGTCTATACAGAATGTGTACATTATACGTACATATATATTGTGTATGTATACATATGTATATATGTATCATTCGAGTACGTTAATTAAACAAAATTCGAATTGCATTGTTTTTAGCTGCTCGTCGTTTGGCTGACAGCCACAAGTGCATGGCAATTGTTGGGCAATTGCTCATTACGATCAGCCATATACATATATGTATGTGTATGTATGTGTACATACAGGTAAGCTATTGCTATATCCATTCTATATACCTAGCTGCATACAGATGCATTCTATATAGACGCCCGCGCTCTGCAGCCACATAAATAAAATCAAGTCATGAATGAAAATGCGTTCGCCTCAACGATTTCCTATTCTGCATTTTGCACTTTGCATTTTGCATTTTGTCTTTAACAATTTTCTTTTCGTTGTCAAACGCTGTTTTACACTCTCTATTTATACACGCTCATCGAACGTAAAGAGCATATTGGCTTTGCCAAATTCTCTATCATGGGATTCGTTCGTAAATCAAATTTATGGCTATGGGTATTCCCCATATATACATCTAGGCATATGTACGCCGATGCCTGCTGGGGGCGTGGCAAATCGTCGGAAATGTCGATGCCACAATTGGATCGATCAGCAATGCTCATTTGGATCTGGGCAAACGTTGATCTCTGCTGATTTTTGCCTAAATTGTAGCGAGTGAGCGTGTATTGTGCAGTCGTGCTCACCCGATGGCACAATTCGGGCTTGTTTTGTATTTATTTTGCCTCGAGCATAAATAATTTGTTGAAAGGCTTTAAGCAGCACAATTCTTACTTCAATTGCCTTGGCAGCTGGCCATTGCCAGCTTTTTCCGATGCGAAATG